GGCAGTTTACCTGAGGAACAAACACTGGAGACAAATACCGAAGGCTGCAGACCTCGATTTGCGGTTTATTAATGCAAACGGTATAGCATCCGCTGATTAAGGCAAAACACAGGCGATCTGCGACCAGTTGTGGAGGGTAGGAGGCAAAACATGGTCAGACTTAATGTGTGTGCAGGAAACTCACACCATGGACAAACCTGAACACCAGCGTGCACACAGAATGGTATGGCCATACCAAAAAATTCAGGCATTCGCCCCCAGCCCTGGGAGCGCGGGGGTGGCCATATGGGTCCCACCGGAATCACGGGCGGATCAAAAACTCATAATGGAACCACACTCTCCATGGAGTGCGCTTGCATTGGACCATATTAGAAGTGTAGCCCCACTTACACCCTCTTATGTCGACCCTTTGTTGTGGTTGGAGGACAGATATTGGGCCCTCCCACAACCTCAGGGCAGATCGAGAAGAACCCAAGACACGTTCTGGCCGGAGCTCATAAGAAACTAGAGGAGATTACCCCTGCCGGATAAACGGGCCCCTGACAGATGGGAAGAGGTTTATATGCAGCCCCTATTCGGCAATACATGGGTCACTAACACGAGGGGTCAGGTTCTACATAGCACACTCGTGCCTTGGAAAAACTGGGTGCAAAATGGGATCACCATAGTCGGGGATCTGTGGGATGAACAAGAGCGGGATTGGAAAACAGTGGAGCAACTTAAAAATCAGCTCAAATACGCCCGTGCAAGGGAGGACCATCTGGAAGATCTGATTTTCTCAGTCTCACTGGACTGGTATCGTATCCTAAAGAAGAGACCTAACCTCCTGGAGGGGGACTGGGTCGCAATAGCTGAGAAGAAAGGGCGGGTTAATAGTCATTTCATCAAAACGGACATATTATATATTTTGAACGAAATCAAAACTGATTTTTTTTGCCAAAATCCGGTCGGAATTTTTGGCTCTTGGGGGGTCCGGCGTTCCCAAAACGCCGGACCCCCTACATGTATCTGGTCTATGGTTGAGACCAGATACAAAAATATAAACAGTTTGTCACAGCCCCTCGTTTGTTGTCCTCTTCTCCCTCTCTGCCTACGGTTTACCGGGCAGTTCTATTTGACGATATATATATATATATATATATATATATATATATATATATATATTTTTTT